CGATTTTATGACATTTATTTATTTAATCGTGAATTTAAAATAACTTCAATATTCGTGATTTTTTTTTTTAAAAACCCCTTCTTTTCTGTCTATGAAATTGATTCACATTATATTTATCATTCACAGTATATTTTTTTAACCGAATTCGTGTAAAAAAATATACATTTTATATATTTTTATACTATTTTATTCTACTTTTAAATTGCTAAGTAGCTACTTCTTGTTATATTAATTAGTCTGACTTTATACCTTTACTCATACAGTGCACACTTATGATAAGCATCGACAACTCATGAAACTAGCCAATTACATTGTTATCTCCGTATAAAAAAAACATAGTTACCTAGGTAAAAAAATTAGTACACATGTATATTACATGTACTTACATAGCATACTGAGAATGCTGAAGATTTGTTCTTTAAGCGTTTTTTTGGATTTGCGGGTGTAACCGCAATAACGCAAAGTAAGACTGGTCGGGAGCAGAAAAAAGAAGTTTTTTTAGTCAGTAATAGTTTGACACTCCCTCTCGCCCTTCCCGAGGGAGAGCGGGGAGGGGAGTAATTTGAAAAAGTTTCCGCGCTCAAACAAAACAAAGTTTTCTTTTATTCCAGGGTGCCTAAGATAAGATTGAAGCAATTTTCTGTTAGGTAATCGCAAGATCATTTAACTCAGAAAAAGACACATTGGCACTTGCCAGGTTTCGAATCCGACTGCGAATTTCACTTCATTAATCAACTGTAAGGATTCCTTAGAGGGTGTATTTTTTTTGCGAGGGTGAAAATAAAATAAAGATCTATGTCATAACTGCCTCTGTATAAAAGTATTTTTAGTGAATAATAATTAATCACCAGAAAAGTTACCCACTGTCTACTGTTTTTAATGGGGATGGTCAACAAATTACTTTGAAAGGGGTGTTAGACTGTTGCGGACTAATAACCTACCTATATTGGTAATAAAATTAAAGTTTATTCTTCTGCTCCCAGCGGTGCACAATGGGACCACAAAGTTTAACATCTAGTGACAGTTATTGGGTCCTTTTTTTTAATACCTCCAGCGAGTCAGAATCAGTGCTACTAGCTTCGAAGATTGAATGATTTTTTTTATGTAATTGGTCGGCAAACGAGCATACGGATAACCTCATGGTAAGCAATCAGCGCCGCCCATGGACACCCGCACGAGTGTATTGCCGATCTATTAGGAAGATTAGGGTTTTGGAGATTTAGGGATTGGGGAGGGATCGGGGGAGGGTAAGAATTGGGCCTCCGGTAACCCACTCACAAGGCGAAACACAACGCTGTGGTTGTTTCACGCCGGTTTTTTGTGAGGTGGTGGTATCACTCCCGTCGACCCGACCCATTCGTGGCGAAGCATGGCTCTCCCACACTTAAAACGAAATGATAAAGAAGGTTTCCCAAAAAAGTGTGAGTATGTAGGTAAATTAAATCCATAACCTTCAGGTCGTCCAGGCACTTCCAAAATATGTAGGTAGGTACTATTGTTGTGCATGCGGCCCATTTCGAAATGTAGTATTTTTAATCGAAATTACGATATGTTTACCTGATTACATTATCTAAGTCTTGCGTTAACTGTTACGAAACATAATGTAAATAAAATCTAGTTCGATCGATAAATTAATTTATGAATTTGGTTTATTAGATAACTACCTATTATACATATGTAGTACCTACGTCAATAACGGGTTTTGATTTCGTTTCGAAAGAGTTTGTGATTTATTTCAACTACTTTCTTTTGCTCAAACTGGTCTTAGGTATTTATGTACTTATATACGATACATTATCACTACAGTATAGTATAAAACAACATCGCTTTCTCTGTCCCTATGTCCCTAATACTACGCAACAGTTTAACAAGTTAAGTTTTTTAATAGATAGTGTGATTAAAGTGGTGGCTTAAATGTAACATCCATTAAATAGTGGTGAAATTAAGTATCAGTACATAAATTTAAATTATAAATAATGTTTGTTTATTTATACACACGAGTAGTAATATACTTCAAGGAGACATATTGTAGTACTAGGTAGGAGAGCGCAGCCTGTACCCTGGTGGCTAGACATAAAAGTTTATAGTACTTAAAGTTTTCGCGTCTTAGTTCTGACTGAAATGAATGATAACTACAACTAATGTACAATATGCCAAGTACTTAATAAGTGATTGTATGTTAAAAATAATGATAACTTATGAACAAAATTTCTATCAATGGGTTTTATTTATAATATTTTTATCAAACTTTTCGCTCTCAACTGACCTATCAGGAATCGAAGATGTTGTTCAAAGAAATCTTTCTCAACAAAAAATTGTTTGTGCTTTTAGCTGAGAATATTGTACACATTGAAATCTATCGTTAAGTATTTTTATAGATAAATGTTCCAAGCATTGTAAATCGTTATCCTCAACAATAAATAGGGTCTCAAAGAAATCAATAAAGTCGAATTGAAAACTTCCTCCTTTATGACATTGGTTATAAATCCATTGACTAGATTTATTTCCAATCCCTCGACTAAAGATCCAAAAAGGTTGATCACACACAAATCATCGTCTTTTGTTATTTTTAACTGCATTGGCCGAATTTGTTGAAAATTATTTTTTTTAGGTATAAAAAGTATTTTTGCCTCTAAAGCAAAGCAAAAAAAAAAAACACTTTTGTAAGGGCTCAATGTGGGTTCCGTAAAAAAATGTTGCCTGCATTTTTTTGCCATTGTAGATTGAGATTGGGAGACCGGGAATCTGACAGATGGAAAAGGTTCAAATATTTATCGATTGCGATACTTCGCTGCGCAGTTTATGAATCGTTTGCTGCAACGACCGAGACGACCGAAATCCTTGCTGCCCTTTCTCTATATCTCTGTGTGTAACCTATTTTATTATTAAAATTGTACTTTTTTGTTGCTTCGGCGTGAACGGGTCAGTCCAATAACAGCGATACCACGGCCTCAGAAAATCGGCTCGAAAAAATTACGTTGTGTTTCGCCGTGTGAGTGGTGCTAGATTTCCAAATCCCTAACCGAAGCCAAGAGGCCAGCAATGCGCTCGTAACTGCTCTAGTGTTGCGGATGTTCAAGTGTAGATATGCTAGCACCATGGCCGCCTTTTCTCAAGTTCTGCATTAAGAGTAATATAAAACTATCTAAGTATATTATCTAAGTATAATCCATTTACAAACGACTAAAACAGAGAATAAACGCAAGTTCTTTTTATCGTAGATATTTGATAACATGTATATTATTCTGTAATTTGAAGTTACCTTTTAGTACATTATAATATCTTAAAATCTTCTTATATATAAAAATGGATCGGAACTCAACAATCTCAACAACGCCTGGACCAATTTTGCTAATTCTTTTTTTGTTGTGTTTGTTATTGTCAGGAGAAGGTTCTTATCAAAGAAAATATTAGAAAAGTAGAAGGGAAGATTAGGAAAAAGTGACCCTTTGATAGCGAGATAGTTGGACCCGTGCGAAGCAGGGGCGGGCCGCTAGTGAGCATATAAAAATAAACATTACGATACAAAGTGATAAAATTGCTGCTCGATAAAAAAAAAACTCATTTCCTTAACAAAATTGAATCAATATCTACCTAAGAACGTGTTTGTGCATATAATTTCCGAACCAAATGCCAATAATTTTACCCCAAAAGTGTCAGATTAAAATAAAATAAACATTAAATTAAGGTAAGTAGATATTGTAAACATGTTTTTATCAAAACTGAAAACAATAATGGTAAAGGTACTTATTTTGATAGGCGTTAAGGTTTTTAACCTTTTGTCACATCTTGATCAGAGTTGACTTTATATATCCCTTATCTTACCTAAGTTTACCTTACCCTATGATTTACTTTACCTTACCTTATCTTAAACGTTTATAAGACCAAATCACTCAGATCAGAGTTAATCACTTTTTAAATCGGGTATTCGTAAATGCTATTTAATTTTGTGGATCAATCTTAGGTTCAGTTCAAATTTCTGAGTTGTTAGAAATACTCAATCGTACAGTCGTACCTACCAAGCACAGAATTTGGATTACAAACTTAGATGTGTAAGTCTCTAGTAATGTTATATTTTTTAAGAATGTTATTGTGTTCTAAATTTAAACAGTAGTTCTTGTGTGTAAGACACAAGACTTGTCATTTGCGACTACTAGATAACATCAAAGAAGTCCCATAGAGAGAAGAAGAAAAAAATCAAGTACCTAATAAGAGTAAAAAGAGATTTGAAGTACCTAATTAAGCCTAAAATAGAGACTTGCAGTCCAGTGCTTACATAGATAGGTATCTTTTATATTAAAACCTATTTACTTTCATTTTAGTGTTCTAGATAAGAAAATTCGTAAAGTATTTAAATATTTCATGAAGTAAGTAGGTCAACACTTTTTTTTTAAATCACTCGAAAATATTTTTTCGACGTTAGAAAACTAGAAATCAGCGCGACATTATTTATTTACGTAAACACGATAAAATATCTAGTGGTTAACTACGTGAAAGTTGGTGTCGGTAGTCGGTCGATCAAACTAGGTTCCTGATTTAATAACAAATATGATAGTTCATGAGAATATCACCGGGAAATGTATGATGAGAAACTAATAAAACATTGTAAATACGTCATCGTTATCCAGTATTATTTTACTAATTAGGTAAACGCAAAGAAAATACTTACGCACGAGTAAGCGGCAATAAAAATAAGTGTAACTACTAAAAACCGTAATTTGTAGCATTATTATTAACATGCCCATTCAAATTTAAATTTGGAAACTATTAGCAAACGTGGTTCTATTTTTATTCTGGAAATATTCACTAGTAACTAATAACAAAAGAAAATCGTTTCCTATTTGCGAAGTAAATGTATGGCCATCAATATTTCTATAGCAGATCATTATGTGAGACGGCAGCTGAGACTTGGCACAATATACATACATAGGTAGGTACGTGTAGCGCATTTGTTACGCGATTCCAAACGGAAAGTCAAGCGATAACAAATATTTACTTACATGCGGTATCGGTTTCCTGCTGTGGTCCAAGTGCATTCCCCCAACCTCAACCACACCCGGCAATAGAGGACGAACACCATTTAAACTGTGGAACGTATTCACCAACATTACGCTCACATTCTTCGCAATCTCCTGTAGGTCAGGAATCCTCCTTCCGAAACGCTTTTCTATAATCGCCTTTTCTTTCATCTGTATCGCGTATCTGAACCAGGTCTTATAATACACATTCAATATTGTATTCTCTAGTCGTTGCAGGAAGGTCATCTGGGATGTGAACTCAGAACTTACGAGCGGAACGTATGACGGGTTATCAGTAACGCCTATGCGATCCGCTGACCACTGCATCATTGCACTCGAAGACAGCGATATGTAAGGCGCCTTCAACCCGTAAACATGAATGAGACCGAGCATGCAATCACTGTTGAAATTTTCCACAAGAATAACATCGTAACTTTTTTTCATAGCATTAGCTAAGGGCACGAAATCCACAATATTAGAACAAATCGCCGTAGCCATGTCTGCTAGTGGTTGGAAGTCGAAGATTTGTTTGATAATCTTTTCAATGCCAAGGGAATTGAGCAGCTTGTTTTGGATGTCGAAGTAAGACAGGTCAATGGTTTCTACTCCTTGTGCAGCGAGTCCTTCTAAGCTGACGATAGTGTAATTGGCAGGAGGATTCTTGATGGGGAAGAATGACACTACGGTTATATCATGTCCTCTTTCAGCTAATGTTCTTAGCAATGGATCGAATACCATTTGGTGGCTCTTTCCGGTGTGCGGGAAAAGTCCGAGAATGCGTGCGGATTGCACATTGACGGCGAAGATCGCGACGAGTAGTATAGCGAGAGTCCGCATCGTGGGCAATGTACGCTGCGTCGCGGCCCGAACTGTACTGTTGATACGGCGCGAAAGGCGACCGGCCGGTGGTACCTATTTTCAGATCATCTGTTCTGTGGGGTGGCACGACACTTATACCCGTACTGTAGGTTCGTACAGTTACGTAGTAGATACGTATGTGTTAGAACATCGTCACGTATTTAAAAGGGCAAGGTGAAGTACAGATTGGTGGGGTGATACTTAGTGATAGATAGAAAAGCTTTATCACAGATATTTTTTTGTTTGTTTACATTAAACACTTTTACTAAGATTGCATTCTCTCTATAATTATTATGTGGATCTGTATTTTTTATTGGACAATCTAGCTTTAACACATTCGCATTAAAATAACATTAGGTACCTAAAATTATTAATTTTAATTTTCTGTGCAGAATTATTTCAAAATTCATAATTATCACTGTTCTATTTTCAAACGTCAAAAGTCATTCGTTAAACGCCTGCCCCGATTTATATTAATTTTCAATGTATAGTAATGTGTGTTGCTATTTATACTTAGTCTTTAGTACCTATTGTTGGCTTATGTTTGTTCCGCAATACTATTATTAAGATGTTACTGTTTATTTTATTTATTTCTATGATTGTTCTAGTAACAAGCGTGACTTTAGCACACGATCGCGTTTCTCTAGAAGGAAATTTAAAAGTTTCCTCGATATGGTATGCTTCATGTCTTTTAATTTACTTAGATAATTATTAAATTAATCCCCTTGGTGTACCAGAACATAGATTCATGTGAAATACTTATAATAATACTAACGGCCTGCTCCTGCTTCGCACGGTGGATCCAGGCCTACCTACCCCGCTAAAAATAAAAGGGTAAAAAAATCCCAATTATTTAAGTACCTACTCTATTTTTCTAAAATTTTCTCTTGTAATCTTCTCCTACACAGACACAAAAAAAAAGAATTGGCAATATTGGTCCAGACTTTGTTGAGTTATGCCCTTACCAACACAACACATTTCGCGATAAATTTTTATATTTAGGTATAGGTTCAGATATGCATTTTCTATTATTTCTCATTTATCTAGTCAATCACCACTTGAAATAAGTAGCTATCATAAGATAATATCGTGGATAAGAAGAGAAAGCTATATTGCGCCTTGTTTAATAGGTATTAAGGTGTACATTTATGTATTAGCAAATCAACTTCGTCCATAGACAAACGTAACACAGTGCACCGATTATTGGGGTTACCTGTGATATTTTTTTTTTAATATTCCTCGTTTTCGACCAAGGTTGTATACCAAGTATCATCACTGGATTTTATTGCAAATAAAACTCTGATTTTTCTATTGAATTTCAAGTACCAAAAACTTCCCTTTTTACCCATTCTTTTACATATAAATACCAAATTAAAATAATAAAAATGCGTGCATCACGTGCAGAAAACGCGAATGACACTAATCTTCACGGGTAGGTTAATTGCTAATGGTTCCTTACTACTTAACTACGCATCACATGACTTGGCACTTCAGTATAACAACTTGAAATAGATGATACATAATTACCTCCCTATATCTAATTATCTTGTTTCTAAGATACAGACATATAAATTTGCTATAATAGTGTTAAATACTAACCAAGTTACTCTGTTTTAGGGATAAACTTTTATTAAATTCTAGCTACTCTCACTCGGTTTTACAGCCTACAGCCTTCTTAGATAAATGGACTAACAAACACAAAAAGAATTGTTGAATTCGAACCAGTAGTTCTAGAGATTAGCGCGTTCAAATAAGCAAACTCTTAGCTTTATAATATTATATAAGTATACAAAGTATGGAAGTAAGTATAGATATAGATACCTATTAATTTTATTTTATACCAAATAGTTAGGTTTATTACAGTTACACAATTAATCAGGGGCTGTTTTTACGCTAAAAGCGATATCTACCAGGCAACTTTTTGGGTAAATAAAATGCTGTCTAAATTTAAGAGGTTCGGGGATGCGGGTACCTAGATGTGCAATATTGTACTTACCTAATGCAGCCCTGTAGGTCTACCATGACGTGATAAGTGTGAATCTTCCGAGCGAGAAAAAGGGATGGACCTATACATCTACACTTTAAGTGAGGGAGAGCCATGCTTCGGCACGAATGGGTCGGCTCAACCGGAGTGATACCACGGCCTCAAAGAAAACCGGCGTTTAACAACCGCAGCGTTGTGTTTCGCTGTTTGAGTGAGGTTACCGGAGGCCCAATCCTTCCCCTCCCCCAATCCCTCCTCAATCTCTAAATCTCCAAATCCCATATCCCTAAAAAGTCGGCAACGCACTCGTAACTGCTCCGTTGCGGGTGTTCATGGGCGGCGCTGATTGCTTACCATCAGGTACTCCGTCTGCTCATTTGTCGATCTATTACATATGCGGAGAAGTTTATGTTAATTTTCTTTCTCTAAAAAGCGGATAGCAGTAGTAGTATGTACCTAAATATTAAAAAAAGTTACGTTACGTTAAAGTACATACCTAAGTTTTAATTCAATTAAATTTCCTGATAAGCTGAACGTCCAACAGGTCAATATTCAATGACAAGTGATTAAGTAATTCCCTCCTTATTTTAATAAAAAAAAAATCTAGTCAAAACATTGGCAATTTATTAACTTTTTCAACAAATATTGTTGGGTTACTAGTTTGTTAAAACCTCTTTTTTATGGGTGCAGAGGCTTAAGGTTAAAAGTGTAAAAAAAAAACAAAAAAAAAACTCCATTAACTTCCTATGTAGGTAATATCATGGAGTCTTCAACGTAATAATTACATTAAAACTGTTTATTTATATGTGTGTATTACGTCTTACCCGCCCTGAAAAACCGATGAGAAATTGGAATTACTTATGAAGCAGGAGGTTTATATGTATTTAATTAAAATTTATGAAATATGTAATAAATTAGTCGTTGTCCTCATACTTATCTATTATTTACGTCAGTTGACCTTATTGTGAATTTTCCCGATCCAGTTGTTAGCTCAAAGTCATGGTTACAAAAATGGCTTGTTGAGTCAGCTACAAAGTGGACTAGCCGCGCATTAGAATAACTAGTATATTTTTTTTTAACATAAGGTGTACAATTACTGTCTCATTAATAAAAGTACTAAGTAGGAAAAATATTCAAATTCTGTTCTAGAATACGTACGTTATGTCATAAGGTCATCGTGAGCAGTTCTAAATACAAAATATTTTGCTCCATTATCTGTCGTTTGATTTGACCCAAATACTCTGCAGACAGACAGAACTGATTAGTTTATAGTAATTTGTGCAGACAGATATTTAGTTCTATGTAAGTACCTACGTAATTAATATTTTTTGACAGCGAATAACTTACTTATGATCTGGGTAATCTAAGAAAGAAAAAAAGCACCATAAATAAATTAGATAGTTAATCGCACTTGACATTATTTTTAAACTTTGAATTTAGAATAAAAACATTCGTATTTATCTTTTTAAATTCAATTTATCGTTTTAGTTTCTTTGTCTTGTGGGTGTCCGATTTTACAAAAATAATAAATATGGTGACTTAAATCAAAATTCGTAAAAAAACGTTTTAATCAAGTGAGGCCATCGATCACTAATAAAGAACTTTTTCTAGAAGAAGAAGAGTTCTTTATTAGTGATCGATGAGTGAGGCATAAATTAATTGCAAAAATATTTGAAGCTACGATCCATTGCGGAAGAAAATAAAATCTCCTTCGAATCTACCTAATGTCAATGACCGCTCCAATTACTTTGTATTAAATTTTCATTGTTTTTTTTGCATAAAATAACTGAGATTACTTTCGATTTTCAAAAGTAAAATACAGTTAAATGTGGAACGGAATTCGACTTGAGGTCATTGAACTTTTATTATACAAGAAATCAATAAAGCAACATTAGTTTGAATGAATCATGCTACACGAACAAATTGATATAATAAGTATTACAAGTGTACGACTACAAGTTTGCTAGCATAAAAATAGCTCTTATTTCTTGCCCTATAAAAGTCCGTGTAATTTTTACTGACGAGACTAAACTTGTTCTCAAAAAGTTACGTTTTCAAGGAGATTTTGTTGCTTCTTTTTTTAGTCGGTACTTAGTTTTGATTCTAGGGGCCTAGGTTTACTTAGTTTTATTTGTAGGTTTTATTCCCGTGTCGTAAGTTCGTTATTTTACTGGAACATTATTATTTTTGTGCAGGAATCTATCTCGTCATTCATTGCGTTGTGTCTAGAATGTCTAGATAACCGTTCAGTAATGTTTTGTAGCGACATCTATCAGAATTTGTATGCACTGTTTGACGATAAGGTACATAATGATGTGATTTTAATATTATTATTTAGAAGAAAAAAAACTTTAAAATTGAAAGGTCATTGAATGATTTGCTTCGTCGTTGGTTGAGAACTTTTTTTTATGTGATGGGTCGTCAAACGTGCAGACGGATTACCTGATGGTAAGCAATCAGCGCTACCTATGGACACTCGCAATACCAAAGGAGTTACTACGAGTGTGTTGCCGACCTCTTGTAGGTTATTAGGGATTTAGGATTGAGTATTTGAGGATTGGGCTAAGCCAGAGATCACAAGTTCGATTGTGCGATCAAAGGCGCGATAAAGTTTTTTCAGACAAACAATGGAACAATGAATTTGTTTTTGCAAATAGGCCATAAAACGGCACTATTACACGTCAAAATCTAAAAAAAACTAGATGAAGCCAACATATTTGACAAGGAGCTGACATCGAAGCTTCGTATGAAGAGTGATAAAAATTAAGTTATAAATGTGTATCAGATTAATATTTTGATTACTGGTAAACTTTATGTTAACAGAAAATGACCATATTAAAATATAAAAAGTTCTTGTAGTAGAATCTTAATAATTCACCAGTTTGTATAGAGATTAATGAGTATAACCAAAAATTTACATAAAAAACGAATGATACATATAATATTTATTAGGTACATAACCTATCTAAATATAAATTTAAAAAAAGAAGACTCTAGAATTTAAGATCTGTTCACAGGTTCAACAACACAAATCAGAAAAACACAAAAAATTGGGCATTTGGTATTTTTTTATAAAATATTCATTTTTTTTTCTATCGACCGGTGGCACAATTGGAGTAACAACGATGGATGAGCCACGGCTAGATTTTTTTTAAAGATATAAAACCTTTTTTAGTGGAAACTCATCAAATTTATCTTCCATGGATGTGCAGCCAGGGTCGCAGTTGTAAGTGCAATAATGTAGGTACTGCGGCCCGACTTGTAGTAAGAGAATGCAAGTCTGACACTCACCACACACAGGGCGGGAGAAGATTAAGTGATTTTCCCCCTACAAAAAAGGATGACAATAATGTCTGTCGCATAATATTCTCAATATAAAATCTCAAGTTCATCCCGTACTCTCAAATTTTTTTTTGTGGTCACACTATGTGGCCGTCCGTAACCGTCGTTTGCCACTGCGGCAACCCTCTCCTAATCTCCAGGCTTGCTCAAGGCCCCACAGACATATGGCTACGGACAACCATATGTCTGTGGGGCCTAAATAACCATAGAAAGTAGGTACATATAACTAGGTAAAAGCCACCTTCAATCATTAATAACAGGCACAAAATTATTTTTAAATAATGCAAATCCTTTACCGTCTTTCTAAATTTAAATTGAGCACTTGCTTCGTCACAATATGTTATCCGTTCTCAATAACTCTTTATACATCAATAGAGTTCATATTAAGACAGTCGACCTCTGAGCTTATCAAGTCTTACAAGTCCACAACCTGTGCTATTATCAGCCATGTCCATTTCTTAGTTTATCCTTTTCCTTATACTGTGTGTAGTTATTGTTATTGTAACCTCTAAAAGGTAAACGTTATTTTTATTAATAACGTGACCTACTTTATTGTTTATGTGCTAAAAAGAAATTGATAGTAAAGATATGGGTGAAGACGGATCTGTCTTCTCTGATGAATGATGATTCATCACGAATCATGATAATGATCTAGATGTTATAATGGAAAAGTTTATTGCATGTCTAAGTTCTTTTTGGGATCACCTGATTGTACGAGGAAGCAATCGGAGATGCCCCGAACAATGAGGAGTTATAAGTGCGTTGCCGGCCTTTAATGGGTTAGGGATTTGAAGATTATCGGGAATTGGGGAAGAAACTCTCTGTTTCTGTGAGACCTAGGTATCATTCTGGTTGAGCCGGCCCATTCTTGCCGAAGTATGGCTGTCCCACACCGATAGCTTCAATAAATCACGTTTAAAATGTGAAGTGCATTCATTTATATGTAAAAAAAATCGATAAATTCACCATAAGTTCCTTTCTTTCTATTGTTAAGAACAAATAGTACCCTAGTTCTAACTAAATTCTACACAACAGTTTTATTTCCCATATATTTTACCTTTGATCACACGGTACCACATCCTTAGATACCTAAGTAATTGATAGTAACCTAGAATGTATTGCAGTATGACCTAGACCAAGAACGCCAGTTAGGGCCATGACTCGTCGACCTAGATTTAGATTTGAAACATACGGCAAACCGGTTAGTAGTAGACACCTATTATTGTAGTACAGTGATATATCTGTGAGTAAATGTGTGTACTACAATAATACTACTACAATATTTATTTATTAATTAATTTTATATTATAAATAAATAAATAAGTATTGTAATATATACTTTATTTATTCATTATATTATAATAAATAAATAAATAATTGTATATTTACCTATCGGCCTTCTCACGTTTGTCGAGAAAACTCGACTGGATTCAAGCTACGCCAGGGCTTATATGAGTAGCATCGCTACCAGAGCAATTGTGGTGTTTAGTACGTAAGCATTTATAGGCTATTACTAATCTATTAACGTGGTGGCCCCGAGGTTACGGCGCCCGCTTTTCAAGCATGCGAGGGTTCGAAACCTGACAAATACCAATGTGACTATTTCCGAGTTATATGTACTTTCTATGATTATTTTGATACCTCTGGCATACGGTGAAGATAAACACCGTGAATCGTGACGAAACCTGGACTTTTAATTTTTAATTATAAGTTTGAAGTAGCCAACCCGCAATGAGCAAGCGTGGCGATTAATGCTCAAACCTTTTCTGTGTGAGAAGAGGTCTTTGCTAAGCAGTGGGCACTTATAGGCTGATGATGATGATGATATTGACGTTAATCTTATATCCACCCGTACGAAGCCAGGATGCGCCGCTAGTTTATCTATCATTGGGAAATAGGTATGAATGATAATGTGTGTATGAGTCATGTCAAAATGTAGATACTGGTTAGATTAATTTAAATTGTTACCTAGACAGATTTATCACTAATAAATTATTAGAAAATTTTCATTCCACCATTATAATAATATATTAGTTTAAAAAAGTTGCTAGTCTACTTAAGAATTTTTCAATGACTTTATCTTGGACGGCTACACACAGGTTTTATTTGCTATTTTTGTTTTTGTGTTGTTTATGACATAAATATTCTAAATTATCTAGATTTAAGTAGCCTATTTGTTTTATCTCCAACTTAAAGAATTTTCTGGTTTAAAAATGTCATTGCCATTAGTTATCTATGTAGTATTCAATTAAGACCAAGATTTTATTTTTATTTATTTACAAAACTAACACTGATACATAATGTGGTGTAATATCTACACAGGTTTCCCAGCTTACACAAACTTGTATTTACCATTCGAACGAAATTTAAAAATATTTAAAAATACGGCTTGAATTTAGAAAGGATGAAACATAGATATTCATACTTTTTTAAGGGGAAAAGTCATCGAATGGCAGGCTTTTCTCACCCATTTTGAGACGACAGTGAATGTCTGACTTTTACTGACTAAAAACCACCTATGCTTCTCCTGCTCCTGCTTTATGGTGAATAGAATATAGATATTTGCCATTTGTTTTTATTTCACTAAGTATTACTTTTTTAACCTGGATATATATTTATATACTTAATCATATTAAATTGTAAAAAAGATAGGTTTTCAAAAGTTCAATACATCGACCAGAGAGAGGTCATTGTTGTCGATATGCCAACTAGATAACAACATTGCAGGTCTCAATGCTAATCTCAACAGGCTACGAGGGGAGACAGACGTGATCTATATTGCTCTCATTTATTATTTTGCGAATGAAGACGTGTTTTATTTTATTATTCCAAAAAGGACTTACCTGGGGAATAACTGGGCTTGTGTGCTTGTATTCTTCTTGTTTACGTTGTATGTGCATCCCTCCCACTTCCACAAGACCAGGCAACAAAGGACGAACACCATTTAAACTATGGAACGTGTTCACCAACATCATGCTCACATTTTTAGCCAGAATGTCCAAATCTGGTATCTTAGTCCAAAATCTCCGTTCTATGATCGCTCTTTCCTTCACTTGGATTGCATATCTGAACCACAACTTGAAGTACAAATTCAACGCAGTATTTTCCAGTCTCTCCAGAAATGTCGTTATCGAGCTAGTTTTAGACGTTATTGTCGGCACATAGGCCGGGTTATCAGGCAGCCCGATACGCCCATATGACCATTGCAACAAAGGACCAGACACCAGAGATATGATAGGCGCATTCACACCATACACATGAAGAAGTCCTAAAGCACAGTCGCTGTTAAAATTCTCAATCAGCACAACATCGTAATTCTTCTGCAAAGCTTCTGCGAGGGGCGGTAAGTTGACTAGTCCTGAACAGACCTTCAGAGCTAGGTCACTCAGTGGCTGGAAAGCAAATACCTGCGTCATGAAGTTCTGCAAACCCAAGCTGCTGATTATCTTATTGGGCTTATCAAACACTTGCAAGTTTATCTGTTCTTTCCGCACTTCCGCAATTTCTTTGAGACTTATATCTGTGTAGTTTGCCAATGGATCCGATTGGGGGAAGAATGAAGCAACAGTGACATCATGTCCTCTCCTCGCTAACTCTTTCATTAGCGGTTCGAAAACTAAGAAGTGACTTTTACCGACGTGCGGTAAAATTGCCAAAATATTCGCGCTTTGAGCATCTTGTATGGAGACAAACGCTAATAATATAGCAAATTTTTCAAACAGATACATTTCGCGGGACCTCTGTTTAGCACCGGCTTGCAAAGGGTACTGCGGGTTACTCCGGCCGATATCGATGACTTATTCGTGCGCGGTTCTTAACTGGTTTTTGTATTGGACGAAATGTTCCACAAGTATTATTATGCGATAAATATTTTTTTCTATTCAATCTTTTGATTGTTAATCAATCACGTATTTGTACGTGAGATTTGAAATATGACTAAGCTTCGGTATACACTGAAACAAAGGAACCTATGTAGACATTTTGGTGGTTATCACAAATAAGTAGTTCCGTTTGAACGAAATGATAAACTAGGAAGTTACATAATTTCTAGAGAGCCATGAGTTAATGTCATGATATAGGTATAGGCACAATCAATATTAAAACGGATGAAAAAAGCAATCAACTGATTACATTAGCGTATTCAACAAAAAAGAAAAATAGGTATATATTAGGTAACTCACCATTGTGCTCATGTCCTTTTTAAATGTAATGTGGATTATTGACAAAATTAAGTCTGGGCATTCGCACAGACATAAATAGATGGATCGTCCTTTTAACTAGTAGATACAAACTTTAACTGCTTACCTGTTGGTGCCTTCAGTACAATTACTAACACCGGTTTTTACATTGATTACTGCAAAAGTCATAGCGGAAGATTTCATACGGTCACTGCACATTAGTACATAGATATCTCAATGTTATTTCGTCAGTAATAAAGTTCAAAATCCCTAACCACAATGTGACGGAAAATAATTGCAATCTTTTCACATCAATGATTCGACTTTATACCTATTTAAATTAGGAACATTTTACTATAACTTCGTGACAGGACAGTGGACAAGACCGTCATGTGGAGAATATTGAAATGTAAAGTCGTGTCAAAGGAATATGCCCTTATATATTACAGTTTAGGTACCTACTAGCTGCATGCGTGTCTTGGTGGCCCGAACGTTTGCGTATGAGTAAGCGGGTTAGAAACCCAGCAAGTAGGTACCAATGTAACTTTTTCCGAGTCATATATATGTACGGTAAGTACCTACTTTCAAAGTGTAGGTATACATTCAGTCAACAAAGTATCGGGAATGAATGTTTTTTTTTATGGTTCCAAATTCGAATTTTAATTTTTTTTGTTGTTGTTAGATTGGCATAACTGTTTTCCATTTTGGCGCGGAATTTGAGTTGCATCTGTTATTTATATTAAAAACAGTGCTGTTTTTAGTTTTATAATATCTAGTGTGTATTGCGAATTTCATAATGGACAAAAACATCGAACAAAGAGTTTGTCTTAAATTTTGCATCGCCAATGAAATTTTGTGTTCGGAGGCACTCAAAATGATACAAAAGGCTTACGGTGAATCGACTTTATCAAAAACACGTGCTTATGAGTGGTACAAAGCGTTCAAAAGCGGTCGAGATGTGATGGAAGATTTGCCTCGTTCTGGTAGGCCATCAACGTCTGCAACTGAAGTTAACATCGCAAAAGTGAAGGAAATAGTGACTGAAAATCCTCATTCAAGTTTGAGAGAGATGGCCGCCGAACTTTCTGTATCTCACGAGTCGATCCGTACCATTTTAACAAATAATTTGGGTATGAAACGTGTTGCCGCTCGGCTAGTCCCAAAATACCTAAATTTTCTTCAAAAACTAAATCGCATGAAAGTCGATGGTCGAGGAGATGCTAGAACGAGTCAATACCGACCCAACATTCATGAAACGCATTGTTACTGGTGACGAGACGTGGGTTTACGAGTTTGACATGCAAACTAGTCAACAAGCTTCGGAATGGCGCCTTTCAACTGAACCAAAACCGAAAAAACCACGTCAAAGTCGATCAAAAGTCAAAGTCATGTTGACTGTTTTCTTTGACTATCGTGGTGTTGTGCACTCAGAATTCTTGCCCGAAGGTCAAACGGTAAATAAAGAATATTATTTGAGCGTTATGCGGCGTTTAAGAGAACAAATTCGACGAAAAAGGCCAGAAATGTGGAAAGAAAATTCTTAGATTTTGCATCACGATAATGCGCCTTCGCACAAGGCCATCATTGTAAACGATTTTTTGTCCAAACACTCAACAAACACCATCGAGCATCCACCATATTCACCAGATATGGCTCCAGCCGACTTCTTTCTTTTTCCCACACTCAAATTACCCCTTCGTGGCACCCGTTTTCAATCGTTAGAAGACATAAAGGAGAATTCGCGGCGAGCACGGAACTCAATTCCGGAAACAGCGTTTAAAAAAAGTTTCGATGATTGGATTATTCGTTGGCGTAAGTGTATCGTTTCTGAAGGAGCATACTTTGAAGGTGATAAAATAAATTTAGATGAATAACAAACATTTTGTGTATTATTGACTTTTTCCCGGTACTTTCTTGACAGAGTAGTAAGTGTAGACATCATAAACCTACGTTAAAGGAAAACATCGCGAGACAACCTGAACTTATAATTTCTAATCTAAACTTCTATACTATTTTATAAAGAGGTAAAATTTGTAAGTTTGTATGTAGAGGGTAATCTTTGGAACCGCTGGTCGGTTTGCCAAAATTCTTCCACTGATAGATAGCTACAATGTTCCTGAGTGCGAACCGAGCAGCGAGTGAAACCGCGCGAGAATAGCTAGTTACCTATAAGTCAGTAATCGCCGATCCGCTTTGAGCAAGCGTGGTGATTAATACAAACGTTCTCCGTGTAAGAAGAGGCCTTTGCTTAGCAGTGGGCACTTATAGGCCGATGATGATGATGACTAGCTACATTCTTGCAGTTTTTTTTGCTGTCTTTGACTAGCCGTTGCATGACATGTTACCTATAAGTTAATATAAAATATCCTTCCTGCGTAGAAGGACTATTAAGTATCTAAACACAAACAATAATTTTACAGTTAGCACTAGCGTCTATAATGTTTCCGTGATCAAATGCATTCAATCAAATTTGAATGCAAACTTTTTAACTTATCAGTAGATATAGAGATTGTAGACGTATATTATACTTACCTATATGCATAGATAGTGGGTGAGTATACCTAGTCGCCTCGGTAATTAATTACCTACTATCAAAATTATTAATCAATCATTTTGTTTACCAGTTACCAGTCCATGTAATGTTTATTCTGTTGGTTAGATGCGTTCGATCCAGTTCAATGCTATCAAAGTGCGTTGACCTGCTGGTTATGACTACCTACATAAGTAGGTAGGTACTGACTATATATATGTAGGTATATTTAGGTAAGGGGTAACTGAAGTGATAAATAACAAAACATAATTTGATTATTCATTACTTAGTATAACTAAGTATGTGGGTTCCTGTGGTAGGTTCATATAAGTAAAAGTGGCCCATATTGTTTTGTGTTTCGCCGTGTGAGTTAGGTTACCGGACGGAGGCCCTATCCTTCCCCTTCCCCAATCCCAAAATCTCCAAATCCCTTATCCCAAAAGGTCGGCGACGCACTCGTAACTCCTCCATTGTTGCGGGTGTCCATGGGCGGCGCTGATTGCTTACCACCAGGTAAGCATAGATTGTCCAATCACCTGATCGTTTAATAATAAATAATAATAATAAGCCCGCAGGGCACCTTGAGGCGAGGTGACGGGAATTAGCGATCCCGCGGGCTACCATCATCCCGATTGCTCCAGGGAGGAGTCACCGTTCCTTATCTCCGGCTTGCCTTCATTGGCTGGCCGGAGTGAACGATGACGAGGAACAGGTCTCCCACCTCTGGCTTGCCTTCATTGGCCGTCCAGAGTGGAGTCGCGAGAGTAGTGATCCTGCTCGGAGGGTGGAAGCTGTTCGTAAGCGGCGAGTGGGCCAGTGATGCAGGATGCTTAGGCAGATGCAGATGATCTGAGTAGAAAGCTGGTGGCAGTTTCTTCACCCTTCAGCCACTCACATTTCCGTTGTCCCTCTGTTGCTATTACCAGCAACCATTCCCGGGGGCCCGGTCGGTGAGTTGGCGAGTCTCCACCTGCCATTTTTACGTGTATAATTTACATTGTTTCGGCAGGTGCCATAGCCCTTCCATAGTTCCCATCCTACTAGCACATAGCAACCCACACCCATAGCCTTGTATTTTGTTTCCATCATCCGCAATAGTCCTACACTAACCGGGGACTGTCCTTGGGTGCATTTCCATAGTGCATACAGGGATAGTCGCCGGTTTGTGTCCCGTTTCAATTAGATTAAAGTTGTCTAAAGGGCCTCTGCGCAGTTGGCTCCGGCCCCTCGTACGCCTTCCAAATGACCGGGACCCTGTGGTCCCGTGATTGGTAAAGACAAACATAATAATAATATATTTATTTGCATAAAATGTGGTACAAGAGTTGGTTTAATATATGTTCTAGAGCTAGACAAATTCCGCAGTTATAAAACAGCATGCAAATGTTCAAGTAAAATGCACATTATTGTTTTACATCATTACAATACATTGGTACATAACGTTCGACATCTTACAGTAAAATACAGAAACACAAAAGTAAAATACAGGTAGGTAAATAACAATTACAATGCATTCCTAAAATGGTAAGACTGAGAAGAATACTTTTTTAGGAACTCATCAACCGAATAAAAACTTTCTTCTATCAAGCAATTTTTTAGAGTCTTGCAGAACTTCTGATAGGGCAAATCGACTATGTTCTGAGGCAGTGAGTTATAAATGTACACACAACTTCGTCTACACATCTCAAGTCGCGGAGCAGGCATTTTTAAATACGAATGAGTGGCTTTGCGCTTGTTTGTATTGTTTTTAAAGCAATCGCGTAAGCAATCGGCCGCTTATGGCCACCCTGCAACACCATATATGTGCGAAGCCGGCTTTCAAAACGTCTTTTATTTTCAAGTAAGTTCTAAAGGAGATTTGAAAAATAAAAGGCGAGAGCCATTGTTATTCGGACAGCACAGCCTACACAAGCGTAATTATTTATTTAGATCTAACTGTTTATTACGTAGGTAGATATTATGCCAAATTGGGTATTTTCCTTCTAGTGTCAAATGAAATAACTTTGAACGGTTATTCCAAAATGTCAATTGCAACTTTTCACCTTATAATGTTATTTTTTTTTAAGAAACAAAACGAAGTTTATTGACAAATAAATTAATGAAAGTAAGTTTATTTTTTTTTTATATTTTGCCTTTCAGAGTACATGGCGGATGGGGTTTCGGAAATCCAAACAATGAAGGAGAGACACTGTTGCAATCCGCTACTGCATTTGATCTAGCAGTAGCCAATACGTGGTTTCAGAAAAAAGATGAACACCTGGCCACGTATAAAAGTGGTAATCATAAGACGCAAATAGATTACTTTCTAGTTCGGCGCAACCACTTAAAGTATGTGATGGATTGCAAAGTGCTGCCAGGAGAAGACTTAGTCTCACAACACAGACTCCTGGTTATGACATCAGTGGTTCAAATTCATTGTAGGAAAACGAAAGAGCGCCCGCCCCCTAGAATAAAATGGCACAGGCTAGAGAGGAAT